AATGATTATATTATTATTATTATTATTATTATTATATCATTATTATATTATTATTATTATTATATTATTATTATTATTATATTATTATTATCATTATTATTATTATTATATTTGTATCATAAATGTCAGATACATTATATTTATATTGTAAATATCGTATATATTGTATTTATATTATAGTTTTCATATGCAATATATTTATGTTATAAATGTCATAGATATTATATTCACAATATAAATATGATATGAATATCATAGACATTATATTTATAATATAAATATGATATGAATATCATAGACATTATATTTATAATACAAATATGATATAAATATCATAGACATTATATTTATAACACAAATATAATATAAATATCACAGACATTACATTTACAATATAAATATGATATAAACGTCACGACAAATGAAATTTTAAAAATGCATAAACTATACCAGCTGATTCTCCTTCTAATTCCACGAGATTCGCAGTCGAATGCAAATCGGCGAGAACATTTCGCGAATTCGGCAACGCGATTGCATAAATTATAACTGGTTCGAACGGTCTGAAAAGAGCTTCGACGATTCACGCAGCTCCCGCGTTTCGCAACAAACGATGAAACAACATTTTTTCTCTCGCACGAAATTCGCAGTCCGGCGATCGCTTTCCGATAGGAAGAGATTGTTTCTCGTCGATAAGAAGCTTACAGAAGATAACGGATCGGTTTTTCAAGAGGATGTAGTTAGGTATGCAGATGAGCAAACGGAATAGCTAACGAGAACGCGCCGCGCACGGCGGATAACCGTAGAAGCGGATCTCGTGCGACGGATCTGCTGAATATGTCATTAAACGAATAGGAAAACGACCAGATTCGTAGATAGATCGATGCGCGTGCCGGTGAACACGCGGTACATCTAGACAGTTGACGGATAAATATGTGCATAGGTGAGCGACCGTAGGGAGGAATAGGTCGACGGATCGACGAGCGAGTACAATCAGTGTCGCTGATTGGGCAAACCTCGATCTGCACAGATGACTGAGAAACGGTGGCGAAACGTCAGCCGGCATTTTAGAAGCAAACGCACGAGCACTTCGTGAACTGGCCGAATAAATAAATACGCTGATGGAAAGACGGGAACGGTTTATATTCGCTCGCCGATAGGGCAAGCGTGGGTATTACTGCGGTATTACCCCGAATACTGCGGTGCTTCACGAATGCAATAAAATCTAGCATTTTACAGTGCGCAATCTTCTAAAAATGAATCTCGCGATTTTTTTATATACGCTTAACACTCGAAGCCAATTTAACCGTGAGTCTAAAATAATTTTTCTGACTTATGGTATCTCCATTTTATATGACGAAGTGCATTTTATGCATGTGAAATTGAGTCTTGCGACGACTTGCGACGACAGTTACGCTTTTAACGATTTTCTTAAATATAAACTTCGTTAATATAAAAATTATCTTGGGACGTGAACTAACAATTTTAGCGGTGCCTCAGAGTCGCCACTCGAGTGCAAAGGGTTAATAATAAGTGCATATGAAATTAAGTCTTGCGACGACTTGTGACGACAGTTACACTTTTAGCGATTTTCTTAAATACAAACTTCGTTAATATAAAAATTATCTTGGGACGTGAACTAACAATTTTAGCGGTGCCTCAGAGTCGCCACTCGAGTGCAAAGGGTTAATAATAAGTGCATATGAAATTGAATCTTGCGATGACTTGCGACGACAGTTACACTTTTAGCGACTTTTTAAAATATAAACTTCGTTAATATAAAAATTATCTTGGAACGCGAACTAACAATTTCAGTAGTGCCTCAGAGTGCAAAGGATTGCACTCGAGTGCAAAGGGTTAATATTGAGACAATTTATGACACAGTAGTAACAGCGGTCGCGGTTTCAACGCCGGAACCCGTTGTCGAACGAATTGCGTTAAGGCTTCCCACAATGCCAGAACTCGTTGGGAGTCTGCCACACACGATGCCGCGAAATTTTACGCTTCATTTAATCGGCCGGGCAAACCGTGCCGCGCACTTACGGCGGAATAAAGCAAGATCTATGCTCGCGATACGAGCCGGGAAAGAGATTGATCCTTCATCGCTTTATTCCACCGTGATCCTGTCTCTCCGGATTTATTGGCAATGTTATCGTTACAATAAAGACAAGTGTTCGGACGATGCACTTAATGTGTCGGCGGGTTTAATGGACCACGGAGTTTCCCGTTTAGCGCTTAGTTTGCGCCGACGTCAACCGTGTCTCGCGTGTAATAACCAGTCGGATTCGTGATCAGGATTTCGTGCCGTAGAAGAAGTTCGTTATCTATTTCGTAATCGACCGGATATATAAGTTTCGCTTTGTAATTCTTTTTTAATTTAAAATTTGTCTTACTATTCTTTTAATTTAAATTTTAGTTTGTAATTTTTTCAGATTCAAATTTTATCTTGCAAGTTTTTCATTTAAACTTTGCCTTACAATTTTTGTAATTTAAATTTCGCCTCGCAAGTTTTTCATTTAAACGAAACGAAATACGATTCCCACTGCGGTCAAATTCTAGGAATTGTAGGAAATTTTTATACGCATTTACGGAGAGAAGTTACGAAAACTGTACGTATCGTTAACATTCGAGTAAAATTATTTGTATTTGCTAAATGAACCGTCTGGTTTGAAGCGTTAATAAATAAATAAATAAATGTAGCTCTTATTAAATTAATAGCGCATATTATAGCGAAGCGTATAACATTTTTGATGTTACAACATTTACAACATTGCGTTGTAAACGAGTTCGTACTAATGTGCTCGAAGATCCGTCTGGTGACGTCACAATTATTACACAATCGTATATCAAGTTATTTATGAAATAATAAATATAATAAATATAATGTGTGTGTGTGTGTCATAATAATATATCATAATAATAAACTAAATCATCATTTCGTTACAGATTGTTCGATTGGAGGCCAGAACGTCCTCTGGGCGAGCCACTTAAGCACGAAAGGGTGGTAATTATAAAGAATCTGTTCTCGCCGGAGGATTTCGACAAGGAGGTCGCGTTGCTGCTGGAATATCAGCAGGACATCAGGTCCGAGTGCCTAAAATGCGGGGATGTCCGGAAAGTTATCATTTGCGATGTAAGTAAAGATATTGTGAAGCATTGTAAAAAGAGAAATACCAAATACATTGCTTACGTTTCGAACAAACAGTGTGAACGGTTGCGCTTTATCTACTCTATGTAAGAGCTGTGTTACGTTCGAGGTCGTTTAATTATAACTGTCCTCTGAAACAGGACTATCGATAAATCACGAAAGTAACCAGCAAATAAAGCGGCGAAACAACGGGTCTGACACGATAAGAGAAGCTTGAACGATGTCCGTCTGCTAGATGCAACGGTCGCCTCGTATACATATATATTTCTTGTAACTTCTGGATTGATCGTAGCAGATGCTGCAATGATCCCTCTGCCTCATAGTTGCGACGTGAATTATTGTAACTTACTAGGGGACATGTTCAAGTTACACGAGACGATTTGTAGAGAATTAATGTAAACGATACTCGTCGCGAGTTTCTGTCGTTGGTTATCGTTCATGCGGAGAGGATAATAACTATGGAAAGAAATAATAAATTAGAAGAATGGTAGGAACAGTAAGAATAATAAAAGTAATAAGAATAATGAGATTAATAAAAGTAATGAGAGTAATAAGAATAGTAAGAATAATCAAAATAATAAAAATGATGAGAATAGTAAGAATAATAAAAGTAATGAGAATGATAAGAACAGTAAGAATAATAAAAGTAATGAGAATGATAAGAACAGCAAGAATAATAAAAGTAATAAGAATGATAAGAACAATAAGAATAATAAAAATAGTAAGAACAACAAGAATAATAAAAGTAGTAAGAATAACAAGGACAGTAAAAATAATAAAAGTAATAAGAATAACAAGAACAGTAAGAATAATAAAAGTAATGAGAATGATAAGAACAGTAAGAATAATAAAAGTAATAAGAATGATAAGAACA